CGTTTATCTTCCAATGGCTTTTTTTCAGTGCTTTTGTTTCATATTTTTGAATGGATGTTTTTCGTATTGGTGCACCACTTTTGTTCCATGTCTCTTCTATTTTTTTCCAATGCGGGCTCTAATTTTTTTTGCTTTATAAAATTTTCGTTTATGTACATCTGATCAAATCCATTTTTGTTCATCGCCTTATTTCATTTTTCATATTATCCATCTTTGTTTACGGTGCGATATTATTCTTATACAGATTTAACTTTTTTCATTATTCATTATTTAATCTGAGTATATCCATTTTTATCCTTTTTTTCAAGATTTTCATTATTTTAATTATTTTATTCTTATGTTTTTCTCATTTTATGATTTGACCAATTTTTTTAAATGATTTAAAAAAAAATGTTCTTGTTTTTTTTGTAAGGTTCCAGATTTTAATGTGTATTTTTTTTTGTTTCTTTTTAACAATTTTGTTCCTCGTTTCTTTTCAAGTGTGTCTGATAGATTTTTTTAATACTGTTTTTAATTATTTTCTTTGTTTTTATCAGATGTAAATTAGTGTTTCATTTTAAGTACTTTTTAGCTATTTTTTTTCTATGTGTTTGTAAGTATATTGATTTTTTTCCGGCCATGTTCCTTGTGCTGTGTTTCCATTGCTTTTAATATCGATAACTTTAACTTTTTTAATTAAAATTTTTTTTATGTTTTCTTGACACATTTAATTCTTTTGGTAATAATCCTGTCTCTCTAACAGAATGTAATTTAGCTTTGTAGGATATTTTCTGCTTAATAGGGTGACACATGAGGAACAACCGGACAAAGTGGGATCTGTTTTGCTGATTGCAACTTCATCTGTAAGTATAGTTTAATCTACTTAGTAAACTATTTCAAATCTTGTAATTAATTTCAAATTGCAATTGTTTTTATTAAATTCAACAATGTTTGTAGAATATATTTCAGCTAAGTTGTGCGACAAATACGGAGCAACCAGATAAAGTGGAATCTATTTTGCTGATTGCAACTTCATCTGTAAGTAAAATTCAATCTACTTTGTAAACTCTTTCAAATCTTCTCATCACTTCTTGCTACAGTTTTTTTCCTTCGTTAACAGGCAATTTCTGGCTGTTTAAGCAAAGAGTTATAAATTATATAATATGTGATTTCAATACAAATTCTAGTACAAGAAATAATACAATATATTAAGATACATGGTGCTCAGTATAGAAAATGGTCCACCCTGAATTACTTTTAGTCCAATGATCATATATTCAAAATCTTAGTAGTGAAAGGGGGTGACCCAAAATATGTTATAATTAAATGCAGACGATATTTTAAGTTACCAAGTCAAACGCAAAAACATACTTTCTCTGAATACGCGTAGCTTTTTTCCTCCGGGGAATTCGGTTTTCTGACCGCCAAAATCTAAGAGGAATAATTTTGGGAAAAAACATAATTTTATTTTATAAACTCCCTAGCTTTTTAATTTTGAACCCAATCCAGAAGACAAAGGAGCTTCTGGATCAAGTATTGGAAGAAATTTGACTTAGTGGGGGATTTTGTGACAGAACTAACCCGCATTTGCATTACATGGAGAGGAAAACCATGAAAACCTCCCACGGTAAGGCTGACGGCAAGGGCTCCCGTGATCCATCTACCAAAGAGGATATTTTACGTCAGCACTGTAGTCAGCTCAAGTTGTAGAATCGACCTGCCATCGCTGGGATTCTAACCCTATTCAACTCATTGGAAGGCGAGAAANTAAGCCTAACGGCAAGGGCTCCCGTGATCCATCTACCACAGAGGATATTTTACGTCAGCACTGTAGTCAGCTCAAGTTCAAGACTAATGCGGAATCGACCAGCCATCGCTGGGATTCGAACCCTGTTCAACTCATTGGTAGGCGAGAAATATGGTCCCACTAGTTTGATCACGAAAGCGGTATTATTTAATAATAGTCGAAATAATTTCGATTTGTAAGGTATAAAAGTTTTTACATCCTTTTAAAGAATGTAATTTTACAAAGCAAAATATGACATTTAAGTGAAATCGGTCAACTAGTTCTTGAGAAATAGAATTTTAAAATAGTTGTATTTTTAAAACTCGCTTTTTCAGGAACTATTCTACTACTTCTCTCAAATTTTGCCTTTTGATACGTGAAATTGCATTCTTTATAATGATGTAAAAAAATTATACCTTACAATTTAAAATTTTTTGACTACTAATAACCAAAATAATAAATAATAAATATTTACTAAAATTTATTTTTTTGTATCTTTAGACAAAAGAATTTTATTATCGTGTGCAATTTNTTAAAATTTTTTGACTATTAATAACCAAAATAAGAAATAATAAATATTTACTGAAATTTATTTTTTTGTATCTTTAGACAAAAGAATTTTATTATCGTGTGGAATTTCTTTTTCAATTTACTTAAAAATTTCTCTAGACACTGCAAAATATGCTTAAAGTAAATTAATAATTGCTTCAAACTGTGTACCGTTCTCTTGGCCAAACTATCAGGAAAATTTTTTTCCAGATTGCAGCTAATCCCTATATTTTAGGAAATAGATATCCGATTCCGTTGCTCATTCAGAAAAATTACTTTTTTTGTCTCTTGTCTGATTTCCTAATATAAAATATCGTCTGAACTAATTAGTAAAAATCCGATGATTAGATCAAAAGTTATTAAGAGTGGCTTTCTTTTTCTTTGGTCACTGTACCTGCGCTCACGAAAATAAGCGAATTCTTATACGACAAAGAGTTAAAACTAGTTTTAAGACATTTATGATCTAGAACTTAACCTCCTTTCCCCTTTTAACTGGTTGAATCATCCGGATTGAGCCATGGTGGCTCAGGGGATAGAACGCTCGCTTCCAATGAAGTGACTCTGGTTTGATCCCAGTGATAACTGGTCGATTCGAATTCTGCTCAGCCGACACGCACAAACGTCAAGGCTGNTTAAGAGTGGCACTCTTTTTCTTTGGTCACTGTACCTGCGCTCACAAAAATAAGCGAATTCTAATACGACAAAAAGTTATAACTAGTTTTAAGCCATTTATGATCTAGAACTTAACCTCCTTTCCCCTTTTAACTGGTTGAATCATCCGGATTGAGCCATGGTGGCTCAGGAGATAGAACGCTCGCTTTCAATGAAGTGACTCTGGTTTAATCCCAGTGATAGCTGGTCGATTCGAATTCTGCTTAGCCGGCACGCACAAACGTCAGTGTTGCCGGAAAATATCCTCAGTGGTAGACGGATCATAGGTTAGAGTTTCCTGCTGTCAAGCAAACAGTGGAATGTTTTTGCGGTTTTCCTTTCCATGTAACGGAAATGTGGATTAGTTGCATCAAAAAGTCCTCCACAAAGACAAATTTCTCCAAATACTTGATCCAAGAGTTCCCTTGTCTTCTGATTCAGGTTCAAAATTACAAGGCTACGGAGTTGAAGATTAGTAGCAGAAACCCTTAATTGGGTTGGCTGCTTAACGACGGTTATAAAATCATTCGGACTGGCCATAGACCTGAAAAAGCACCTGGGGCCCCAGCCTAAGCCTTCCTTTAAAGAGGGGCCGTTTGACTCCCTGCTCTTTAGAACAAAAAACAAACAAAAAACAAAATGAAGCTTTTTAAATATTCAGTATAATTTTAAAACACATTTTGTCGTAATTTTTTTTGATATTATGAATATAATATTTAAAATATTATTATTTAAAAAATAAAATACTTTTTTAGAATTTTACTTAATAACTAAGTTGAAAGCTACGTTGTGCGTCACTGTTTTAATAAATATAGGGAATTTCATCTTCAGCCTAATGCACGTGCATGAAATTCTGAGTTAACAATCATTTGAGTGTACAAACCGGGGCCTCACGTACAAAAGTTTGAAACCAAATTTAGTAAATATCAGTTGAAATCAAAACAAACTATTACGTAGTTCTTCCTCCCTTTCTTACGATTCAAAACTTTCATCACTTGTTCCTTTTTGGTCAATGCCAAGGTTGTTAACGCCTTTTCAAAAAAGATAATGAAATTGGGGAGTTGTCACTGTGAATCTTGGAATTATGGTCCCCTTAGATTAATACATTATCTGATCAGATCAAATTCCAAAACTGTTCAATTCGAACTTGCAATGTTTTATTAATATTATTGAATTTTCTCACACAAAGTGTGCACTTACTTTGAAGATAAAATGCATGGAATATTTTGGGGGCTCCACAGATTTCCTGGACTTATTGTCATTAATTATGACACCTGTACAGATAAAAATTATATTTTAGTTGAAAACTGTTTGCATTTAAGACTTCAGACAATGTCGGTTTAAACTCATAACAATGTATGTCTTACTGTGAATGACAGAGATTGGTGGACTTAAACTGGTGAATGTTGACAATCACCTAGTCTAATGATACTACCCGGTATACATTTGCCCGCTTTATATCCTACATCAATGTTTTTTTTAAAGTTTCAATGTCACGGTCCGGTATACATTTACCCGATATACCCTACACTCATGTTCTCTTAAGTTTCAGTGTCACTGTTCGATATGTATTTTACCGGTAATCCGAACACTGATGTTTCTCCTTATCTATCTTCAAAAGATGTTAAAATATCGTATAAATATAATAATATCAAAGAATAAATATAAAATAGGATGTAATTAATATTTCGGCCATTCTCCAATGTGACTAAGTGATTGTTGACATCCACCGGTGAAAGTTGACATTCTCATAATTACGACGGTAACAACTTGATTTCGACGATTTTTCATTCATGGTAACAACTACATTTCCAAAATACTTTGTAAAAAAAGTAGTTGCAGTTAACTACAATTTATTTTATAACCATCGTTGAAAAGCTGACCCGATTTTTGGATTTACTATTACTATTGTTCAACTGCGTAACCTTGTAATTTTTTAATCCAATACAGAAGACAAGGGAGCTCCTGTATCTAGAACTGGGGGAAATTTGACAGCGTGGAGGATGTTTTGATGGAACTAACCCGCATTTGCATTACATGGAGAGGAAGACCACGAGAACCTTCCATGGTTAGCCTTTCAGCAAGGGGATCCGTCTACCACTAAGGTAGGTTGACATTCACCGGTGAAAGATGACATTTTCCTCATTTCGGTGACTAACAGTAATATATGCATTTCAAACTTTTTTGCTGATTCTGAAGATCATTGGTTTTATTGAGCTATAAATTTTTAAAAAAAATTTCTTTCCCGCATCCGTTTCTAAATGTTAAAATGCATCACTCAGTGGAAAATTTATAACATACATTTTTGTTTCATTTGTTGCCTAACAATATAGGCAAACATTTTGTTTTTCTGTAAAGTTGGCATATTGATTGCGTAAAAATGCGTTAAGAAATTCTTTGGTTTACAATAGTTTAGGTTGTTCAAACAGTTTTAAATGTCACTTAAAGTTGAGAAAAAATAAAAAGTAATCTTGAAATCAAAATAAACTATGTAGTTATTGGTACTAGTTAAATTCAGGACTAAAAAATTTCATATATTTTAATTTTCTTACAATAAATTCTAAAATAAACTATGTTGACTGATAAGTAAGTGCTTTAAATTTAAATACAAAATATTTAGCTCCCTAAAGAATGTTTAATATTTCTTATAAAATTTGAAATTGAGTTACGAAGCGGAAGTTATAAAGCAGTATTAACTAACTGTGAGAGGTCTTCCTCTCCATGTAACACAAATGCTCCATCAAAAAGTCCTCCACGAAATCAAGTTTCTCCCAATACATTATCCAGGACTTCCCTTGTCTTCTGGATTGGGTTCAAAATTACAAGGCTAAGGAGTTGAACATTAGAAGTCGTAAACCCGAAAATTGGAACAGTTATTAAAAAAAAAGAAAGTGTAGTACTAAATTACTGTTTAATACTGTAATTTTATACTTTAATTTCTTTATATTTGTTATTTTTTTACTGTTAATTTAATACTGTTTGTCTTGAGATTTTTGGTCTGTTTAATTCTGTCTGATTAATGATGGTATTTTGTTTATATTTGTTATTTTTTTACTGTTTATTTGTCTGTCTTGAGATTTTCTGAAATTTATTTTAATTTTGTCTGCAAAACTCGCAGTGGATGCAGCTTAAAATTTCTTGTAACCTTAATCATGCAATAATGTAAATATTTTTCACAACCTAAAAGTGGACAAAGGTATAGTATTAAATTACTTTAAGAAAATGCTGCTCACTGTTAATTAGCTTAGGTCCACGTATTGATGTAATTTTGTCAGAAAAATGCACTGACTTTCTAGAATATTGACTGTAAAATGTCTCCTTTTTATAATTTAGTGTAGTTTTGGAAGAAAAATTTTATATTCGTTAGGATGATTATTGATAATTATTTAGATTTTATTTAAAACCTATTGACAAAAATTGGAGTGGAAGGTTTTG